AATCAGCCCGCATCGCGCGCTTTGAACTGATTGGCCACTGTAACCCTATAAAAGTGAGTGCCTCTCCCGCCAAAAGAAGAAGAAGCAGAAGAAGCGGAAGAAGCAGAAGAAGCAGAAGAAGCAGAAGAAGCACAGAAGGAGCCGCGGAGAGCGGACCGGTAGAGGCTTCGGGACAGACTGTAGGGAGAAGCACGCAAGGAGCCGCGGGGAGCGGACCAACAGAGGCTTCGGCCGGGAGGATTCCCGGGGCAGGCTGTACGGAGAAGGAAAATAAAAGAAAAGGTTGTCCACTGCCAGACTTTGTTGTGTGTCCTTCCTGCCGGCCGGGAGTGACACCGACAAGGACCTATTAGAGACTCTAGGATGGGCTAAGTGGCCAGCAATCACACCACATGCCTAAGCTTCCTGACATTAGACTCCAATGGAATGGAGTAGCAATGAGAATAGGTTAAGATATAATAGAGTCCAGTGAGGGTTGACGGTATAAGGCAGGCAAAGATTTTCAGATACTTTCTGTGAAGGTTAATCTGTCCCCGTCAAGGTCAAGGTCAAGATCAATGTCATTCCAGACAATTTGAATGTGAACATGGGAATGGTACTGGTTACTTCTGACATTTTTAAGAAGTAAGGGATGACATTTGAAGAATAGAGGAAGCATTACTCTGACCTGATTTCAAAAGTAATACTCAAAGAATATTGCAAATTCTACAATGATGGTCTTGAAATAAAAACCAAAACCACTGTTTCAAATTGATGCTTTATGACTGCATATAAAAGAGATAGTTATAATTATTAAGCAACATTTTCAATTAGGCTAATATTCTTCCTCAGTAATTTACTGACAGATTAGAATGAATTTATTTTGTATCCAGATTGCCAGGCAAACAGGCTTCTTAACTTCTGGTAAACCAGGTGGATGCACTGAGTGATCCGCACTCAGATTATTGGCAAATTGATATGTTTGCTTCCAGGTAGTTGATGTGTAGTATGCCTATCCAACTAGGCAGTTCTTTGAGACAGGGCAACAATTTTTTTTTTTTTTTTTTAGAGTAGGATAGCTTTCCTGTGTACTACTAATCATTTAGTAGCTACCTCGGTCTTTATCTAGCAGGTTCTATTTTCTATATTTATCCAAAATTTAAGCCAAATGCTCTCCAAACATTACCACATATCCCCAGAGCAATAAAATACCCGCAGATGTACCTGTATTTGTAGGGGAAGTCTCTTGAGGCATCCTGCAAATATCTTTCCTAAGTGACCAACTTTTAACTAAACATGTACAAAATTTGCTGATGAAGTATACCTTGTGAAAAGCCAAGATATAATCATCTCAGTTGACCAGCATATAAATTCAATACACAGAAATTCCTTATGGTTAGATATGAAATCCTATATTTAGATTCAAATCATAAATTTTATAGGCTAAAGTTAAAGGAAACATGTTCTAGAAAGAAACCCCATGATTTTAGTTGAGCAGATTTTAGCTGACAAATTTAACTTTAACAATTCTGTGCCTTTTAAAGTAAGGAAAATTTAAGTGCCATTATCAGAGAAGTAAAAGATCCAAATCAAAGATGACAAAAAAACCTACTGTCATACTGTTGATTATCAAGTATTGTGGTCATTTAGCATCACATTTTAAAAACAAAGCTTTGAGAAGAGCTTCGTAAGATGTCTAGAGCCCATTTTATTTGAGAAAATTATGGCTACAGGAAACCAGTGTTAACATCAGAGAAGACAAATTCAGGCAAGGATGAGTGGAGGTGGGTGGTACTGCAAATGCTGTCATGTGGAAGAGGGTATGCACTCTGTTCTGTACACAAAAAATTAGAACCAATAATGGAAGTAATAGAGAGCTGGATACAAGGAACCATAATTATCCTGCAATTAAATATATAGCTATGATGATCAGTCCAGATTGTCAAGTTGTTTGGCGTGAGAGATAGCTAGATTAGTAAAGCACAGCTTTCCGATGTGTCTAGATGGGACACGGAGGTGTGATGCTGGGGGTTGTGTCTGGCATGTGGCCCTCTCCTCGCTGGCTCTTTTCCTGGTATCTGCTCCTGACTGCCATGAGATCGGCAGCTTCCTCTGCCACACCCTTCTCCTTCATCTTTCTACCTTGGCCTGAGACGTCTGAAACCAAGGGCCAAGTGAACCTTTCCTCCTTTAAATCCGGGTCAGGAAGTTCTCCCAGCAACAAAAGCTGAGCAATTCAAAAGCCTTGCAAAGCAGCTACCCTTCTTTTAGCCATGGCTGGACAATGCTTGCCTGGGACATTGTAGAATGTTGTTTCTACTGTAAAAAATATTAACTCAAAGCTCTATTTTTAACTTTGATATTCTTAACTTTGAGTGTACAAATATGTTATGGTTCTATTCACTTAGTAGCTGCTTAGTATACTTTAATTATAATTATTAATAAGATAAAACTTTTTCCTTTTGTGTGTCAAGGTCTTGTTATATAATCCAGTCTGGTTTTGAACTTGCTATGAAGCCGTAGCTATCTTGAACTTGCAATTCTCTGTCTTGCCCTCCTGAGTACTAGATAGAATTATAGGTGTGCGTCATCATACCTAGCGGAAAAATATGGTTCCCACTTCACCATGTTTTTTGTTGTTGTTGTTCTGCGATACTGTTTTACTCTGTATTCCTTGCTGGTCTCATACTCATTGGCCTCCTGCCTCAGCCTCCTGAGTGCTGGGATTACAGTCGGGGCACCACCTCCAAAATACTGAGCTCTGATTATGCAGAACACTTCAATTTATTGTTTCTCAATCCTCACAATTGTATAGGTCTTATTATCTCAGTTTTACAGTTGAGTAAACTTTGCATGACTGATTCAAATTATCCAAGGTGTTTTCCAAACCTAGGATTTAGACTGAATTTGCTAAATTTGTGTTTATGACAGGTAAGTGTTGAAATTACATTAACTGTCAGGGACATTGTCCCAAATAGTAAACTTCCCTATTAAGGACCAGAAGTATTCAATAAGACTTATTTATTTATTGTTATTTTTACTGGAAGATTGCTAGTATGCCTTGTTATTTTTTCAAGGTGTTAAATGGTTGTTTACTGGAACTGTTTAACCATCCTTACTTCTGGCACAGGGCTGAACTCAGAGGAAAGACATAAGATGCCCTTGAATACCTATGTTCCTTGGCCAGAGATGCTGTCTTTTGGAGAAGCTTCAGTCAAAAACAAGGTACTTGTACAAGTTATATATATATATATATATATATATATATATATATATATATCCCATAGTTAACCCAGAGCCACTTGGTCTCCTGGATAAAGGAAGATTATAAAAAGTGATCAAATCTGCCTTAACTGTGGGACTATCCTGAGGGCTCTTTTCTCCCTTTTTATGTGAATGTAATCATGTCCTCAATTAGGTATCTTTTATGGTCTGTCACTCTCAAATATGAATGACCATCGTGTATTTAAAGACAGCTGCTTTGTTGGTGAGGACCTTATTGGATACTGGATGTACACAGACTGTCTTCAAAATGCAAGATCAAGTGCTCCAGTCCTCGGAGAAATTTACCATCTGATGAACATGAAGTTGTCCACAAGAATAAATATATGTGTTACGAACAGTTTCCATGATAATGCTAAATAAAAATTTGCAGTGTGAACTGGTAAATATGAAGCAAGACTATTTTTCACGAAGTTATCTAGTGAGTGGAAATCCCGTTATCAAGGTCACTTCCTCTTTATAATAGGAAGGTACTGCTACAGTGAGTTCATGATGCATTGTGTTTTCTTGATATTCAATGAACCATCCAACTCCAGTATAATTTTCTAACAAAGTTTTGTTAACATCAAATGTCTCAATGGTTCTGAATTTTGGATTCCTTTAAGAGATTCGTGGACTTAATAAAACACTTTCTCCAGGAAAATGTTCATCTACAAAGTTGTTCCAAATTATAATAAATATATAAAATTAGAAATATTCAGCTACATATAGTTACATATATATATATATACACATATATGTAATATCATTATCTTATTCTTATACATTACCTATACATTTGTAGCAGCTGATGCCTAATCATTGGCTTTAGGGATCTGTCTCTCCCAGTTGCCCAAGACAAGGAACTGTGATTCTTGGTCTATTTATTAACCTCAGGTTTTAGATAGCTACTGCCTTTGGAGTGCTGCACATTTTTAAAATACGCTGAGTTATATAGCCTTTGATACACTAAGTAAATGTGTATTACTATGTTTGTTATATCTGAGAAATCTTAATATTAACAAATAACACTTGTATCTATAAGTACATACTGTATTCTGCACTTGTATTCAAATCTTTTGCTATTGAAAAAGGGTAAGATTTTGAAACTGTTACCAACTAAAAGTTACTGCTGTAAAACTTACTGATGGGTCCTATAGTTTCCAAAAAGCTAACTTGCTTTTTGAGAGATAATATATTTATATGGAACAGATAGATGTGTTCCTTTTAAAGTAACTCAAAGCACACATTTTTGATGCTTTCCACTATCATGAAAAACAGTAGTATTACTGGTAGTCACCTTTTACTTTGTTATGCTAGATATAACATCAGTCTATATCATCCTTACCATCCTATAAGGTTGGCTTTATTACACTTAATGCACATTTAAGAAAAGTTAGAATAAAAAAAATTAGATAAATTGTAGCTGTGAATAACAATGTTGGAATTAACCACAGGTTTACTTTCTTTTTACAGAGAAGGCTCTATTTATGAAATGATTATGTTGTTTTCAACTAGTTCTGTGAATTTGTGTCTTCAGGTTCAACACAATGAACATATAAAATTAAAGATACATTTAATGGCTGTATCTTGAAGTGCATGAATGTGGAAACCTTCATTGAATTTTAAAATATAGAAATAGGAGTCAAAATTATTCCCCTGTCTGAGGATGGGACTTCCTTTCAAATGCAGCCTTTCATATTCTTCCCCTCTATCACAAAATGGTGCCGCATGCAATTTTTAAATCAATAAATCCACAGTTGTATTAAGAAATATTTTATTAACAAAACAGTAAATTCCACTTGCTTAGCATTTCCAATAATGGATAAATTGGCCTTGCAACAGAAAAACAAAACAAAACAAACCCCTTAGATACCCAATCACACAAAGCACTAGAAGGGTAAGATCATGTGGCCTTTCTTTGATGTTTTAGGGACTGACCACCTCACACATTATTATAGTAGTCTGTTTTTTTTTTTTAAAGGCAACACATTACATGGATAAAAAAGAAGCATACTCAATCAGAAAATTTACAGTCTAGAGATGTCATCAAAATTATGCCAGGTAGTGTAACATCCTTTATTCATTACAAACTATGCATGAACCCTGATACATTTGGTATGAAGATTCTCAGATTTTATTAATCTTTTTCTCTCCCTAACACATTTTCCTCTCTTTTCTTTCTCCAGTCAGGAAAAGAAAAACAGCTAGATTTTTGAGTAGGCCAATAGCATTAGAAATATTTTACCGGCAATATTAGATAACATCATTGCATGAAATTTTAAAACTTATGTTGGGAAGAAACATTGAAATCAATCCCAACATCAAGCCTCACTGATATAACAGTACGCATTTTTTAAAATAATATGTTAGAGTCTTTTCGTTCAAATTCACTACAGCAAATGGAAGAGAAATCATTTTTTTTAAACCTAAGCTGTAAATTAGTGGTTTTATATTCCCTTTTTATTTCTCTGGCTTTCCCTGAGTAGGACTGAATGAGAGAGGTCAGGGGGAAAAAGACTTGTGAATTCTTTAACCTGGCAAATTAAAAAGAGATAAAAACCTGAAAAAGAAGTAATGGATATTAAATTTTAGTTTTATATCATCTACTTTCTGGGTCATGAAAAAGTCCTTACAACTTCTTACACAATTACTTGGCAACCATAGATAGTGGTGACTTGCTATGAATTATTCATATTTCTAAGGTGCTATGAGTCTGAAATCCAGGCCACTTGTTGGCATTTTCCATCAACTAAAATATCACAGAAAATGTTTTGCATTTTTTGCCCTTGCTGATTAAAGCTAACTCTAAAAGTAGTCTTGTCTTGTATGAAATCTAGTATTATTTTAGGAGATGTTCAAGTAATGTGACCAATTTTTACCTTCCATCCAAATAATGCTCTTTCATTGCATTACCTTCTTATACTAATAATTTATTGCTATGAACATCATTGAAACAATATGCAAAAACAAGTGAATCGTCTGTACTTCCTATTTAATGCATGTTAAGCTAAAACTATATTTAATGATATAGACGTAAACCAGAAAAGTTAAAATTTAGTCAAAAATAAACAGAAGAAGAACTTTAATGGGTAGTAATACATAATCAAAAATGATTGAAAATACTTTTTAGTTGAGAAAGTATTTACTTTCCGAAAAGGTTTATCATGCACATCAGGTCAGAGACTATATATATTATTTTATTGGAAACCAACTTTTCAATTGCAGCAGGTAGAGTTAAGGTGTAGATTACCAATTTTACTTCCATCACCTGCCCACATAATGGTTCACATCCATGCAGCAGTATATCAGGGATATTGTATTTGATAAGAAAAAGTTCCATTTCATTAGGGACTAAAATCTCCTCCAGGTCTCCCGGGAGCAGGAGCTCAGTGAAGCATACCACCACGTTTGTCATACAGCTTGGCACAACTATCTTCCTTCCTGCTTTTCAATTTGGGTCTTCCAATTGCTTCTTGGCCTTTTGGCTAAGATCAAGTGCAGTTTGGGTCTTGCATCCTATCTGATGGATTCCTCATGGTATGTGTGTCTGTGCGTGTGTCTGTATGTGTGTTTGTAAATGGTGAACACAGGTAGGGATGTGAATATTTAGGGGAGAAAAGATTATAAGATATATGTATATATTTACCTTCTAATTCACACCTTTCATACAAATACTAAAACTTAACTGCAACAGAATGAAGGCTGTACATGTAAGAAAAAAAGTAGCTGAGTCTTTATATACATTCATACATATCTTTCTTAGAATAAACACTACACTGTAATTTTTTTTAAAAAAGTAAGTAATTGTGGCAATTTATAATGGTGGCAAAAAAATCTGACTGAAATAATTGTTGCTCTGATGTCATAAAACTCCCTATACTTAGCAACACTTATAACATTGAGTTTACCAAAAATGGCTGAAGAGCGGAGATATATTTTGCATTTTCTATACAACAGGCTATAAAACGTCACTTATCACAGTCCAGAAAGCACACAGAGATGGGTTTTATATAAACATATGTAATAACATAGTAAGCGTGCATGAAAATTTCCCAATGATTGCATCTATGCCCTCTTATTTTTGTCTTGAAATTTTAGTGTGAAAATGTGCCTTATATTTCACATATTTGAAAATAAGGCCTCCATACGTATTTTTTTTTTTTTCTCACAACCAGAAAGGGGCTTTTTGAATGTGTTCCTACACAAGTCTTCAAAAAAGCCAGCACTTGTATGAAACGCAAGTTCCAACCACTGTCCCATTTGCACCAGGCAGCAAACTCTGAAAGGTTTGCGGGTTGAGTCCCTCTCAAGGACAAGTCTTCTCTGGCAATCAGACTAACTGACTTCTCAGGAAAGCGCTAGCACTTTGGCTAAATCCAGGATCATAGGTAGCTTCTTTTTTGTGTTATGTGTTGTGTTGTTTCTGTGTTGTGCCTCGATATTGGAATACTCCTTTGCTTTATGAATGCGTGCGGTCATCACTGTCTTTTAGAAATGTTCCAGCAACATAAAGACAGGCAGAGTAAATGAAAACACTGCGGATGTTAGGGAATTTATTGGCCCCTGTGTTTTTGTTGTTGTTGTTGTTGTTTTTTTGGTTTTTTGTTTGCTTGTTTGTTTTTTGAGAAACAAGAGCATGAGATACTTGTTTTGCTTTGTTTTTGTTTTTTTAAAAACAGTCTTTCCTTCCTGATTGCATTCCCTGTCTTCTTTTGTATGTGCTTCATAAAAAGGAAAGTAAATAAGTTTATATTATGTCTTAGGTAAAATGATGACTATTTCTATACAAGTGTCTTTTTCAGATCTCGGGATCAGACATAATACTCTTTATCCTTGTTCTTCTTGTTTTTGTTGGCGCTCTTGGCGCTGCTGGGCTGCTTCTCCTTTACCACGGCCCCGTTGGACTGTGCTGAGTTACTGATGTAGTTTCGGCTCTCATCCACGTGGTATGAGCCCTCATCCCGGTTCCTGTACTTGTACATGGCATAGAGGAGGATGAGGATGCACAGGGCGGCTGCGGCCACTATCCCGACGACCATGCCCGTGGTGCTGCTGGACTCCCGGATCACTTCTGCAGAGCCAGGGTATGGCTCCCTCCCGCCCACTCGGGTTGGGTTGGCTGTAGGAAACAGGGTGAGAACACAAAGAAATGATGACTGAGTTTCTGCATTCCAGAGAGCCCGTCTCACATGCTCCATCAGTTTCGGTGCCCCATGGCATAGAACCTACCTCTGCAGGAAAAGCGTAATGTTGCTAAATGAGGCGATGCGCATACCTCGTGGTCACTAAACACTAGCGAGGATGAGGCAAAGACCTCTGAGGGAGATCTGCTGCCATCTTTTCTCATAGATCAATGCCATTACCATTATTCGTTTTCATCTTTTAAGCACAGGCCCCAAATAAGCATCAATTTGTTTTAAAGGGCCAGACTGGCTTTTGGTGAAAAATCATAAGCCAAACATGACAAATAAATCAGAACAGCCACCCCTTATATTAGCACAAAAAAAAAATGATATTGATGACTCTATAAAGCACTTAGGAATAACTTGGACTGAATCACGACAGCTTCACATCTAGGACTGCTTTAAAAATTAGACTGCCTTCTCTTCTGATGAACACAGCATTAAACAATAAAATAACCCAGGCCCTTTGTCTATCTGCTTTTAAAAGGGCAATTTTAGTAACACATTTATAAGTTAAAACAGAAGTGATTTCCTGTGGGAGTCATTTGCTTACATATGTGCATATGCATTTTATTTATATATTGGTAGCGATAACGATCATCAAAGCTAAGGTTTGGGGAAAATATTGGTAGTGATAACGCTCATCAAAGCTAAGGTTTGGGGAAAAAAGTAGAAAATATTCTTTCTCAAGTTTAAATATCATCTCCATTGGCTTGAGTTAAAACCCAGCACCTAATTGATTATAATAAAAGACTGGCTGGCCTAGTTTTCTTGAACTGACAAAACCCTTATTTAATGTTCCCAAAGTATAAATAATTTTCAAGCAATGGGTTGATTACAAGGTGTCCAATATCTTTCGCAAAGCCCCATGGGTACTGACACTGACCCCAGAAGACAAAGGGAAGATCTGGGATTTTGCTAGCAAGTAGGGAGAGGAGGATGCTCTCTTCTGCTCGAGATGCATATTTTTAACTGAAAAAGAATAGAAAGTTTAGAAAGAAAACATTCTGTTCCTCCTTGATCCTAGATAAGATTTTGTTTTTCCCTGGATTTCCACCCTCTTCCTTTTCTTTCAAAAGAAAGATAATATTTCAGTTGTAATAGATTAAAAATCCCACAACTTCCAAAACATTATTCTTTGTAAATTATGCAGTGACTTTAAAAGTTTCGATTTATGTGTATATTGTGCACACATAAACAGCTGTGTGTATGTTCATACACATTAGGAACTGGACAATTCAAGGACACTAAAACTGCTTTTGGTTCACTACTATTAAATGTCACTTAATAATTTTTAGTATTTCTGCAACATTTTCTGTTAATTATTGAGAATCATATACCATTACATATAGCCCATAATGCTTTGCAATTTCATTTTCAAACATCTCTAAGATTCTTCTGTTTAAATGTGAAAATTTTGCTGTCATTGTCTTTTCCTTCCCCAAATAAAGTCCTACAAAGATAGTCACTTAAAAAGTAGTAGCTCTCAATGGCAACATGTTGTGAAGCTACGAAATTCAGCAGGTGAAACAGTTCTATACTGATTATATGTCACTGCGTGTTTTACATAAGCCAATGTAATGAAGCTGAATAAAAAGCCTAAGAGTCACTTCTGTGACCAAGGTAGAAGCAGACAAAGACTATAATCCACAGCAGTTGATTACAGGAAATTAATTTCCTCTCAAGAAGCATAGAACCTACTGTAGCAACTCTGTCACCACCTGACAAAATGAAGGCGGGCTTTCTCCTTCAAATACAGTCATCTTGTCAAAGCGCGCCAATTAGCTCAGCTGCTCACCTCTACTAAGTGACAACTTTCCACTTGCCCCTTTGCAGAACAGTCTGTTATCATGGAGCCTCAAAAGCTAAAAGGAGAATTTTATTTAAATGTTTCCTAAATCGTTTTCCCCCACTTGAGGAGTGCTTTCATTTGAAATCCATTTGCACAATTATCTCACATTGTTAGAGGGAGAAGGGGAGAAGACAGACATAATTCTAATCATTTGGCTAAGAAAATAAAGTGTGAGAATTCTAGTGGGGTGTACGATTTAAATTTTCTAGTGTAAGAATATATACAGCTCTATTTAGGAATTGGTATAATAGATGGATTATTTTATCCAAGAGTATTCATTTTAATACTCAAATATGTCTGATATAATTTCAAAGCAATTCTGCATGCAGCACATTAATAATGTGTGTTGGAAAAGGAATGAGATTGCAAAGACCAGCAAAACTTGAAACTCTTCAATTTTGCGGTTTAAGCATTTGACAAACATTTCCTGTTTTAGGAACATATTTGGCTTTTTTGCAGTACCAGCCAAAATGTTGCATAAGTCATACGAAACCTAAAAATATCTGCATGCAATATACATATGTTGTAAATATCATATTTTTAAAATAATACAAATGAAAAGCTCTGAAAAGCTAAGATCTAGACCCCATGAAGAAATCTAGACTCCTATTTCATCAGTCCTTGTGTTCACATTAAAATTTTAATAATCACCATGACTGTATTATTATAGATCTGTATGCAATATGGAAACCTAGACAATTAATTAATGCTTTTCTATTTATGCTTCAAATCTGAAATCTAAGTGATAGTTCCCTTAAATTCCAATCTAAGATCAAAGGTATATATGTGTTAAGAGGACATTTTTCTCATGCATACAGTAACAGATCAGAGAAATATGACTATGTTTATGAACTATAAATATAGTTTCACTTATTGATTGTTAATAATTTTCATGATCACTGAAAAATCTCTGAGGATATTTATATTTGTTTGAACGTAGAACATAGTACAAATATCTAGTAGGTAAAAATATAACAATGTGAAAAATGGATTTTGATAAGAGACATCCATAAGTAATTTCTGGGTTTCATTGATTTCAGGATTCTGCATTACTTTTACATTCCATAGTAAACTAAGATCACAGCTTTAGTAGAAAGTAAAATAATTCATAGCATATTTCTCTCAACTGTGCTAAAAGCTAAATAAATGAAGTTTACTTTTACTCTTTGTCCTTTTAACCATCTATGCAATAAGGACTTTATTTATTTATGTATCTATTTATTTTTGAGACAGAATCTCACTATGTAGTGCAGCTTGGCCTTGAACTCACAGGTGCTCCACATCCCAGCACTGGTGTTACAGAGATTGCCACCATGCCTGGTTGTAAAGATATTTTTAAAAACAAGTGAATGAGAACAAAGAAGGAGGGATGAAAAGAATGGAACATTCACAAATTAGCTTCAACTTTTGAAAGATCAAAAATTACCTCCTGGTTTATCACATCTGGTCCAGTTCAAAGACAAACTTAAGTAGGATTGATGGTTGTCACTGAATAATGCGAAGCATTTATGCAACTGGGTTTAATTAGAAATTGACAAATTTTTGACTTTGGTGATGGCATACATACTGAACTTTAAGACTAGGTGTCACTAGTAAAAATAAAAAAAAATGGGTACATAAAATATAAAATTTAGACCCATCCATATCCTGCTTCAGAAATTCATTAAATATATTATCACATATTAAGTATACATTATATAAAGTTATGAGAACACTACAGTGATGGATTATTGTACATATCACATTTCCCCAAGCAATTCTGTTGAGGGGTAGCTCACATCATGTATCCCTCGACATCAACTACTAGCTCTGCTTGGTCTACATGTGGGAACAGCAGCATACCTGCCTTACTAGTAGCATAAAGGATTTTAACTTTTGCTGACTGGTTAGCTGATAGTGTCTTTGGGCTGGAAGAGGAATTGTCATGGGCCAAATTTAAAAAATACATATTCAAAATATATAAGTAACAAAACTTCCTTTTCTTAAAGATATTTTTTTAACTTGATATAATGCCATTTGTTCATTCCTGGTATTATTTTTTGTGCTGGAATTCTGTTCATTCCACATCTGTGATTTGAAGAGTTTTACCTGTTTCACCTTCCAGAAGATCGTTTCTTTGATGTATTGTATTGTATTGTAGTGTATTGTATTGTATTGTATTGTATTGTATTGTAGTGTAGTGTAGTGTGTTGTGTTGTGTTGCATTGCACTGTATTCTCCATTTTCATTTTTGTTTAATTTGTGGTGAGAGACAAGGGCCTAGATTTAATCTTCTGCATGTTGATAAGCAGTTTTTGCAACACCATTTATTAAAAAGACTAACTTTCCACGAGTGTATGTTTTTGCTTTGTTGTAAAATTAAAAAGCATCTGCACAGCAAAAGAAACAACCTATAGAGTGAAAAGAAAACCTACAGAATGGAAAACAATTTTTGCCAGTTACTCCTTAGACAGAGGACTAATACCTAGATTATATAAAGAACTCAGAAAAGTTACATCACCTCAAAATAAGATACCCAATCAAAATATTAGCAAGCAAAATGAATAGACACTTTTCAGAAGTATAAATGACCAATACGTATATGAAAAAATGCTCAACATTGCTAGCCAATAGGGAAATGCAAATTCAAACACCACTGAGAATCTATCTTTCCCCAGGAATTAAACAATCACAAACACTGGCAAGGCTGCAGGGTGTAGGTGTGGGGGGACTCTTCCACAATGTTGGTGGGAGTGTAAATGTGGAAATCAATATGAAGATTCCTCAAAAACCTAAAACTAAAATTTCCATTTGACACAGCTATTCCTCTTCTAATGTCTTCTCCAAAGAGTTAAAGAAATCGTATTACAGGGATACATGCATACTCATGTTTATAGCGACACTATTCAAAATAGCTAAATTTTAAAAGTGGCCTTGAGGCCATTAACAGATGAACAGATAAAGAAAATGTGATATTGCATGCAATAGAGTACTACTCTGCCTCAATGAAAGAAAAACTTGAGTCATCTATAGGAAAATGAAGGTATCTTAAGATCATAATGTAAAGTGAAATAAAACAGAAACAGAAACACAAGCTTTAATATT